AATGAATTTTTGGATCAATTAATTATTTTCGTCGTTTTAATTTAGTCAGTGATACGGGTAGCATCCCCTTTGGCATCAGATCTCATCTTGTTTTGTATATAAACAATAATGAATTAATAAAGGCGTATGATATTAAGTCGGCATAAATTTAGTCTGATAAAGGGTATGGAATCATAGAAGCGTAAACAACGGAGACAGAATTAGGGAAAAGGGGACAAGCAAGAGGATAAGGGATGAAAGGCCGAGGAACGTTGGAAGAGCAAGGGGTTGGGGGATGTAGCTCAAGCGACAATAAATCAAGACTTGGATTTAATTAAATCTTGCATTGAAGTTACGCGGGTGGCCGCTCGCCGCGCTGCGGTGCCCGATAAAGATGGAGCACCTCGTGACGGAGAAGGATTATTGCCTTTTTACTGCACTTGTACGACAGATTAGCTGATAACTTCATCTATCCGTCACCGAAACATTTTTAAATTAATTCATTATCGACTCTCGACATAACCTCAATTTGTTTAAATGAGTACTAATTCCAGAACACGCTGTATATAATTCATGTTGAATAAATGTTCAGTTTTGAGTATAAAAACGTAAAAATCTCCATCGGAAGTGTCTGAAAGGCGAAGGTGTATCCGAAGAGCGGAAACAAGAGCCTCCCTCTCGCATCCGCTAAAGACTCGGCTGGTTTACCTATAAACTACCCTTAATTCCGACATCCCTCTAAATTACAATCCCCATTCTTCCAGCTTACTTTATTTTCCCTTTACCTCTTGCAGGGGTAACTAAATAACCGGCCCATTATGTCCTGATGGAGGGCGAAACGAAAGAGGCCCTTTTTACTAGACGACATTAGACTTTTAGGGCTTCAGACGAGACCCGATGCGCAATATATGATCCTGCAAAACTGCCGGATTTACATATACATGTGTTTTACGGGCCAATTGGTCGTGTTTTCGGCTTCGCTCTTTTGATTTTAATTTCGTTTTATGGCCTTAAATCTTTGTTTCCGAGCCGCGGATCCAGAACACAAGACATAGGCATTACTTTTTTTACATGGCTTCTGGAATTACCATGTCATCAATTTAAATCGACCGGAAAATTAATACCAATAACTGAAAGAAATAATTCTCAAATGACATATGACTAAAAAGTTTTTGAAACACAGATTTCTTATATACGTACAGTTTTGTGTGGTAACTAACAAGTCAATGTTATACGAAAAAAAAATACAACAATTTGCGACATTGAGAGATAAAAACTTTATCAAGGGCAATGCCACTACAGTAATAATTACTCCACATTAATCAGATATAAAAATAATCCTTATAATCGTATTCATTTATTCTCCACGTATCATTAAAATTTAAATTATAACTAATTAATTACAATGACATCAAACTTTCCACTTTAATTGACATTGTTGCTAATTCACTTAAACTTCAAATCGCAGTCAACAATCGAGCCTCTTATAAAACTTTTATTACTAGTTTAATTACAATATAATTACTATGAAATATCTTTTATTTTACCACAGGGTTATTACCATTTTCTAGATCACTTCTCATTCAGTACACCAACTGCATAATCATCAATAAATCTTGAAGGTTAATACCGCTCAATTTATTCAAAAAAAATTATTGGCCTCGTGGATTTCGCTATATCTACCAATCGGAAGAGAATGAGGTATTAGTTCCGAATAGACATCGATAAGTACAAATTGACAAAATGTACAAATACAAGTCCCTAGTTGTAATTTTAGTGCTATTTGCTCTTTTATTATCAGTTAATTCTCAAGGTAAAGCAATATTTAATAATAACAAACTTTTAATTTGAGATTTAGGTGGCAACACTGGTCCTGTTTTGTTCCCCACAGTACGAAACGATCCCAGCAACCCAACCCCCGAAAACGCAAATTTTGACCTTTTTAAATAATAAAATTCTGTATAAAAACCGACATTACTATTAAACGTGTATAAAAAAGTAATTATGTTTTTTTGTTCTACATTTTTTTCTAGCACTAGAAACCAAAGAACTAGATATTTAACAAACGAAAAAAAATATGTATTATGTTCACAATTAACTCAAAATCATCGTGAAGATTATTACAACGAAAAGCAAGTGAAAAATTAGTCCTTAGGAAGAAAAAATTGTTTTCTTTAAGAATAAATTACATACCTATTCCATACTTCATTTTATTTACACAAATTTTCTTATTCTTAGTGACATTTACAAAAAAATTATGAAATTCCATGTGTTCAAATAATTTTCTAATCAAATTCATCTAAAACTTTTGAAATTAAATTGCCAACATTAAATAAGCTAAAAACAGAAAAATAAAAAAAGTGTTTATATTTTCTGAATCCAACTGATTTTTAACCATAGAACACTACAAGAGATCATCGATAAATTAGGTATAAAACTTTTTTCAAAACTTCTAAAGTATACATTTACAAAAAAAATTAATATTTAACGCTGTATTTTTATTATTTTTGCCTATAACCTAACAGAAAGTAAGCTCTTCTACCCTAATTTCAGAAAGGAAAGTGACCAAAAAACATGCTAATAGATTTAATGGCAGTATTGGATTATCAAGATTTTTTTTTTATTTTTTTGCTGAGTCGTAGGAAAAATTATATGTATTACATCGGAAGAAAGTGTTTGTGATTCTCTGGGTGATTCCTGCCGTCAACAAATCTCGGTCAGTAACTTCCACCTACTGGAGGAAAAGGTACAATTTCCTCCCTTGTACTACAAATAACTATTATCATCACATCAACATTAATCAAAATTAATATTCTCAGCACACAATCTTTGACAAAATATTATCAAAATGTTGTTTTTCAAATAGCCCTGCTTTATTTTTTGTTCTTTTTTCATATTGAATTTGCCTTTAATATCAAAAAATTAAATAAATACAATTAAAAAAATAAGATTTAAAAAATAAGAAGCTAAGTCGTGGGTATATTATACATAGACAATTATTCTTAACATAGTTAACATTTTATAATAAAACTTACGTAGATATAATAAATTATTTAAGAGACATTTTATGACAAACTTTTACTAAACAAAGTAAAAAATGGCAAATGTTAGCAAAAACCGAACATTATACAGGGTTGTTTTAGAACTCGCGCCCCAGAGAAAAATACCTAGTACCTAGTAGTAGTGAGATACCAAGGATATAGAGAATTCTATCTATAACAATTTCGAAATTATGGGAGTTTAAATCTTGCATTTTGACTCTATTTATTTCTGTTGGAAAAACAATTTGACATGTTTTTTTGACTATTAGAAGAGGAAATCCTATATTGTAACTATATTTATGGTTTTTATTGGCATAGTTTGTGTATCTTTACTAAATAATTATAAAAAAATATATACAAGATCATCAGTAACATTTTTCATGTTCCTGGTATCTTACCTTACTTGGCATTTTTCCATGGGGCGCAAATTATGAACCACACTGTATATTACATTCATTGTTGTTTTAAACCAGAGTAGGCTATTTTATTGTCATTCAGCCACAGTTTTACCATACAACTCGTTAAATTTCCATAGCCCACTCTGGTCTAAAATACAAATTAATGTATATACAGTATGTCCCCGGACTGAGTTTACAAGAGGAAATTTTTTCATATTTTGATTATAAAATGCAGTTTTTGAAAAAAAATTCAAGAAAAACGAAAAAATCGTAATTGTGTTTCGTGGACATTTTCGTTTTTGGCACTATGTGCTTTTCGAAACAATGTCACAATTAAAAGTGTCGGAAACGTGTGACAATCAGATCCGATTGACCGGAAGTAGCGTAACAGGGTCACGTGGCCGGTCCTGTGGACACTTTCGATTGGCCAAATCGTGAGATAATCACGTTCCTGATACAATTCGCATCGACAGCATCGGTCGAAAATTTCTTTTGTGTTACAATACCATATGATACGATCTGTGGCAAACCCCTCCATCTTGTACAACTTGTCAAAGAAACGAAATAATTATCGTCATTTATTTGAGTAGAGGCGTTGGTAACAGACAAGAGGCTCACAATTGCGTAGCAAATAAATGACAATCAGTAGCTCATTGCGCCTTAATGAGAAATTGTTCGAAATCTTTATAGTATATTGCAAGAGGCTTTGAAATATAACCCCCATTCCGTACGGGGCGTAAAACCCCAGCGCGGCTTAAACGCGAGGGATGTAAGGGCGAATTTGGCCGACGGTTCATATAAACATATTCCGCTGTACGAGACGTAAAGCTTAGAGAAGCCGGTAAAAGCTTAGAAAGCTGCCTGAAAGCTCGTGCTGTTAATTAATAATTACTGACAAGTTGCTCTTCCTTTGCCTTAGTCCGTTCTACTGTCAGTGCGAGGCTGCAATTAGTCGTTGATTTAATTAACAGTTTGCCGCACCGTTACTCCCTTCTAATTTAATCGACAAGAAACTTTTCAACTTGATAAATAGGTCACGAAGATACCAAAAACTTGGCTTTTTTTTCAAAAATTTCCTGCTAAAGGTCTAAATTTCCCTTCACTTTCTCAGTTTATTGACCCAATTTCCGGCGCTCTATCATTCCGGGTGAGTCTGTGGAGTGGTATCGCGGCTGCTCGGGTTCATATCTGGGTCTGAGGTGGCCATGAAGGGGTGGCGTTGGCGGTGTCGTGATCCGAGGCGGTGGTGGTGGTGGCGGGGCGCAACGCCTTAACGCGGTGTCGACGACAGCTGCTTCGACTAGCGACAGATGTTCTCAGCAGGCCGCCCCCGACGAACCGAAATATAAATACGATGCCGCCCCAATGCCAGACATTTTCATATGCGAAAAAATGTACACACGTGCGATAAATCGCCAAACGGGGGCGGCGGATGTCTTATTAAAACCAAACACAAATAACATGTTGTTCAGACTTGTTGTTTTATTACTCAATAATTATTGTTGCATTTTAAACACAATAAAGATAAACTCAATAAAAAAAGTATAAAAAGAATGATAATAATGTTTTATTAAAATTAAAGTTTAAGATCTTAGAAAGAGTTACAAAAAAGAAAATGGACTTGAAAGATTTTGGCATTTATTAATTTTGTGCTTTTTTCTGCTAATTCAAGCTTCAGGTCGAGGTAATTAATTGTAATAATATTAAAAATAAAAGGTAAAATAATTACTAAAATTTATTAATTTTAGTACTTCTAGCCGATGATGAATATGTAGATAACCGGAATGACAGAGGTCCAGTGTTATTTCCCACTGTTATTCCTTAAACAATCAGTCTTTGAATCAACTGTTGATTTGATGCAATGGAAACTTAGGTGTTAGAATAAAATATAAAAAAATATAATAAATGCGTGTTATTTCAAATTAATTGCTTGCAAACAAACACAATAGCCATAAGATTACCACTTATTGATAAAAAAGCAATTAGAAAAAAATATGAGCTCTCTATTGAAATTTATTAGGCTCAAATTCTGATAAAATTGGAGACACGTCTGTTTATTATTTAGTAAAATTTTGGAAACGTATTAATGAAGCAACATGTTTAAAATAGAAATTATATTGTTGCTGTTATTTTACTTATTTGTCTACATTTTGGGGCGTAAGTTAATCTGAATACATATTTAAGTACCTACATTTTTGGATGTTTTAATTTTTTTGTAGAATCAGCAAATAGGGCTTCAAACATCACTAATGTGACCTTTACAGATTTACTTTTCATACCTCTTAAACCTCCTTTTTTCCCTCCTGTAATTAATGTAAACGTATAAAGAACTGTGAAGCAAAAGATTTTTTCTATTCGACTTACCTGAATTATCTACTTAATCAAATGTTACTTTTAGTTGAATATAATACATACAATGAAGATATTAGTAGCCCAAGAGAATATATACCTTCGTTTGTATTTTTTTCGTGTCATAAAATTTTAAGTGTCTTGTCAGTCGTAGTTCATGAGTTTTATTGGTAAATAAAGAAATAAAATAAATGAGTTGTTTTCCTTTTAAATTTGTAATTGTTATTACAAAATTTCAAAATACATACAATACATACAAAAAAACAGTGTTCTAAAGCAGTATAAGATGCGCTATACCTACGTATTATATGATTTGTAATTTGTAATTTGTAAATTACATAATATTTAGATTTAAATTTGTTATATAAATTTTAATTGCACCTTTGTTGTAATATTGTTATATTTTATTTTGTACAATATTTATACAATACATATGTACAATATAATTTCTTGTGTTTGCTGAAGAATACACTAACACATAATTATGTCATAATTATGCTAATTATGATAAACAGTAGATAAAAATCTACTAGACGACAAATTCCTAAAAAAGCATTCCATAACATTTAGTACAAAATAAAAATAATGTTTTAAATATGGAAATTGTTATAAATTTTTGGATCAAAAAAATAATTAAGTAGAAAATATGGTAAACCAAATATAAATATAACTTTAAGCAAATCGACAAAATTTTACATATTAG